CCCAGGTGGGGACAGGCCCTGTCCCCCTCACTCCCTGTTGGGTTTCTTTTCCCAATCCAGGCTGGAATTCCAGACTCGGCCCCGCGGGCAGGGGACACCAGGTGAGGCCTCTGAGGTCACCTGGCCTGGGGGGGAGACACCTGGGGACACCTGGGGACACCTGGGGAGCCTCTGGAACCAGGGGTGGGATCATGGGATCATGGATAATGGGATAATGGATTATGGGATACTGGGGTAATGGGATACTGGGATGAGATACTGGGATCATGGGATCTTTGGATCATGGATAATGGGATTAATGGAATAATGGGTAATGGGATCATGGGATAATGGATAATGGGGTAATGGGATTAATGGGATATTGGGATAATGGGATACTGGGATCATGGGATCATGGATAATGGGATCAATACAATAATGGGATACTGGGATCATGGGATCTTGGGATACTGGGATCATGGGATCTTGGGATCATGGATAATGGGATAATGGATAATGGGATCATGGGATCTTGGGATCATGGGATAATGGATAATGGGGTAATGGGATACTGGGATCATGGATAATGGGGTACTGGGATAATGGGATCATAGGATCTTGGGATCACGGATAATGGGGTGGGATCATGGGATATTGGGATAATGAGATAATGGGATCATGGGAACATGGATAATGGGATCAATGGGATCAATGGAATAATGGGATACTGGGGTACTGGAATAATGGGTTATGGGAAAATGGCATAATGGGATCAATGGGATACTGGGATAATGGGTAATGGGATCATGGGATCATGGATAATGGGGTAATGGGATTGATGGGATATTGGGATAATGGGATAATGGGATCCATGGGATGGGATAATGGAGAATGGGGTGCTGGGATGATGGGATAATGGGATGATGGGATAATGGGATCATGGGATATTGGGATCATGGGATGCTGGGATAATGGGATGCTGGGATAATGGGATCATGGGATGCTGGGATCATGGAATAATGGGATGCTGGGATCATGGGATGCTGGGATCATGGGATGCTGGGATATTGGGATCATGGGATGCTGGGATAATGGGATGCTGGGATCATGGGATGCTGGGATGCTGGGATAATGGGATGCTGGGATGGCACAGGACGGTTCCCGTGCTCCCCCCCCCCCGCTCTGATGGATTTTCCCATTTTCCCCCAGCAGTGCAGGAGGGGCCGGACCCGACCACGCCCACCCAGGTGGGGGATGGGGAGGTGAGGGGAATTCCCTGGGAATCCCCTGGGAATGGGGGGGCTGGGATCAGCATTCCCAGGGGAGGGGAATTCCCTGGGAATGGGGGGGCTGGGATCAGCATTCCCAGGGGAGGGGAATTCCCTGGGGATCCCCTGGGAACTGGGGTGGGGGGGGAGCTTTCCCAGT